GCTTTATTAGAGGAACAGAAAAGTAAATAATATATTGTTCTAGTTAATACTTCTAGTACTATATTGCATAAGAGAGAAGAGAGTTGACATCCTTGTCTTATTCATGATTTTAATGGAATGTCTGTTTTTCTCTATTTAGCAAGACCTTGGCTGTAGGCTTTCTGTATATTTCTTTTATTATGGGGAGATACATTTTTTGTATTGCTAGATTTCCAAGGACTTTTATCACGAAAGGATATTGGATCTCATTAAAAGTCATTTCTGTATTGTAATAAATGACGATGTCATTACCATGTTCAGGAGAGAGTTATTTGATAACAGTGTTGTAATCTTGATGTCTTCTACTTTTCTGGTATTTGGGGATATAGCCTCTATCCAGATTTTATATTTCTCTTCTATGGTCTGGTACATTCAGCCGTTTGAACAAGGAGCCTTAGCAGTATGGGATGGTCTGGTTCTGAAGGCCCCTTAAGGCAATTGAAAGTTCTCAGTCACAGAGCTTCCAAGGCTCTGGAACTCTGGATCATATGTGACGGCTAATCATATGTTCCTCAGTGGTGATCTGGTAAGGCCAGAGAAAGATGGCAGTATCTCTCCCTAGCTGGCATTCCTGGGACTTTGATAACTGAAAGTGGAAAGAGAATAAGGAGGAAAGTGATGGTAGCCTACATAGGTCCTCACCATTTGTACTGAGTACAGGATACTAGGTAGCAAGCAATGCTGGGATCAGAGGAGTCTCAAAAGAAGATTGGCCAAGAGGAGGTAGTTATTTACTGGCAAGCAGCCATGGGACTCGGGTGACCCAAATAAGAGTGAATTCTTAATGGAATAAACATTATAAGTGAGATACAGATGTTATCAGACACACATGGAATAAATTTTGTGTTACTTTTACATTCTTGTTTATTTTGACAGGGATTTTTAAATGCTTAATTGGAATTTCTTTAGCAAGCCACTACTAGGCATTAGAGCCTCAATCAGTATATAATGCAAATTTTAAAACTTTTTGTGAATGTGTTTTAGTATACTTACATATGAATTGTGGAAATCAGAACTCACTTTCTTTGGAGTTACTTCCGTCCTTTGAGCTTCTTCATATTGTGTGTAACAGGAAATTCCAGGCTTTGTCTTGTCTTATTTGACTCCATTTTACAAACCAACAATTAGCTCCATTTTGAGTACAAATGCCAAGGCAGAACGACTCTGTATCTTTTTTGTGAAAGTTGATAATGGCCTCCTGTCAGTAGAGCATGAAGTGTGGGGCACAAGCTTATTTGTGCAAGTGAAAATGTGCTACCTGTGAACATTTTGATGTAGACTTGAGAGATGTGGGCACACGGATATATTAAAACAATATCTCCAAAGTCAAGCTTGTTATTTATTGAACACATTAGATCAAAATGTATAAATATCCCACACTGAAGGAAGGACACTTAACACTAGAGCATGATAGTACCCCCAATCTGTCATCTGACCATCAAGTGTATGTGTATCATGGATTCAACAGGCAAATGACTCCAGACTGTTACTGAGGACTCAGCTTACCATAGTCCCCACAACTTGATGAGATCCACTCATTATTCTTACACTTAGCCCTGCACTGACCCTGTGCATAGCTTGACTTGACTTGAAAAGACTCTGCATTGAATTAGCAGTGCTTGGAACAGCTCTGCTGAGCACTTCCAATAGCTCCCTGACTAATTAGTATCCTATGTAACCACCTGCAGTGACTCTCTTTGTGTCTGTCTTTGCTTTGCCTCTGTCTTCAGTGAGATTTCTGTGAATTCAATAGCTTCTCAACCTCTTTAACCTTTTATCCATTCTTTAACATATATTTATAACTATTTCTAGTAAGTGTGGTATATGACTAAGACTTAATATTAGTGATTAAGATGAGAATAAAAGAACCTAGAATTGCCAACTGCTACACTGTTAAGTGAAATCAGTGTTATATGGTAAATTTAAGGCAAGAAAATAAACATAGCTTGTCAATATATTGTTATTCAATAAATTCTGACATTGTGGGAAATCACAAACGTGTCTGAATATGTTGCTGATATGCTGTACTTATAACATACCACCACAATATTGTAATGATATCAATTTCATGTAAACACTACAATTAGAATATGACTAGAAGTAAAAATACAACTTTACTAGTCATTGTTGTGTTCAAAAGGATCAATTATCTGATTTGTAACACTATATATTAATTTTTCTTATTAATAGTTGTGTGCATATGTGCATGCATAGGCTTAGTTTATCCAACATTATGTTTTTAATATTCATCAATATCTTCATATACATTTTTTGTACCTTCATTACTGTTTAAAATTCTTTTATTTGAATATATTATAACTTATTTACTATGGCATACATTTGAGGAATAATTATATTCAGAGCCATTATTCATGGATGTCTTAATTTTGTTTCCTGTTGCCGTGATAAAATACCCTGAGAAAATGAACTTAAGAGAGAAAGGGTTTATTGTACTCACATTTCCAGCTTACAATCCTTTATCACAGGCAAGCCAAGGTAACAGAACTTGAAGCAACTGATCACATCTCATCGTCAGTCAAATCAGAAAGTAGTGAATGAATGTATGCTTGCTAGTGCTGAGTTCTTTTCCTCCACTCTCATACATTCCAGACCCATGTCGAGGGAATAATGCCACAGTAAGTGAGTCTTCCCACCTCAATTAATATAATCAAGATAATTTTCCTATAGACTTGCCAACAGGACAAAGCAGACTAAATCATCCTTAATGAGACTGTGTTTTCTGGTGAGTCCATGTTGTTTCAAGTCGCCAGTGCTAATCTTACAGTGTTAATTCTATGGGTATATTAATTCTGGTGCTTTGATAATAAGTTGTAAGCAATGCTGGACTATAGGATAGATATATTTTTTGATGTATTAGATGCCTCTATGTTTTGTGATTGATGTAGTAATATACATTTTACTTATAGAATATCATCATTATAATCACTATTTGTTCATATTAATAATTTATGTCATTAATATTTTAAATTATGGATGAGATAGTGAGGGAAAGAGAGAAAGAAAAAGCAAGATAAATTGGTTGTATGATTTTTAATTTTCTTTTTTATTTCCTTGATGAGTGTAATATAGAACATATTCTTTTTTTGTTAACTGGACATTTGATAGTTCTTTTTGCAAAGTAACTTTGATGTCTTTTCCTTGTTTGCTTATTTATTTAACTGCAGGAATGTTCCATGTATTTGCCCCTCTTAAACCATAGACCTGTAATGTGATATTACATATGAACTGAAGAACAGTGAAAAGCAGTGTTCAAACAAAAAATCTTGGAAATGGATGTTCATAGAAAAAGTTATGGATAATGATTAAGAAGTAGGAGCAGTCTCAATGTCTGTTAATTAAAAAACAAACTGATAAAAATGTTATATTTGCATACAAAAGCATAGTATTCAGCAATGTAAAAGGTACTGGTACAATGGATAAACCTTGGAAAATTTATCTTAAATTTTTATGGTTCTATGCAATGCAATTATATGACTCTATTTACATGAAATAACCAAGTATAATAACCTACAAAATAGAAGGTAAGGTTGGTAGGGATTTTAGGGGACTATTGACCATAGACTTACTAGGAATGTTGGTTTTCTTTTCCTCATAACAAAATGTAAATTTTAGTTATGGTGATGATGATACAACTCTATGGATAATGTACTCATACTGTCTAATTTTTATGTTTAACTTAACATGAACTAGGGTCATTTTGTGAGGGGATCTCTGCAAGTGTTATGGCCAGCAGCAAGCACGAAGAGGTGTGAATGAGAACTCCAACTGATAAGCACATAATTGTTAACTGATCATTAGTTTTCTTCAGTGGTGTCTCACTAGGCTTACAAACCACTCTAGAGGGCAGGCCTCATGCCCAGCAATAGAGGGACTGCACAAAACAAACTCAGTGGTACTGGAGGTTTGTAGGCTAGTTTATTTGTTTGTTTTGTTTTCTCACATTTTTCCAGATCTTTTCTTTATATTGTTCCTGATTTTGTTTTTATGGGATTCCTGTGGGTGCAAATGTATATATATGTAACATGAATCTTAAAAGGTCTTCTCAATAGAAAACCTGGAGCCAGACATTGGGGTGAAAGCTGAAAGATCAGAGAAACAGAGCAAGCCATCCACATTCTTACCGCTACAAAATCTTCAGCCTCCAGAGCAAGACTTCCTATTTACTCATGTCTTATATACCTTTCCGTGCCCTGCCATCTTACTTCATTCCTAGTGCTGGGATTAAAGGCATTTGTGCTTCCAAATACTTGGTAGCAAAGGCATGAGATCTCAAGAGATGGTATTAAAAATGTGTGCCAGCATGCCTGATTCTGTTTCCAGTGTGGCCTGAACTCACAGAGATCCAAATGGATCTCTGCCTCCTGAGTGATAGGATTAAGGATGTGTGCCACCACTGTCTTGCATCTATGTTTAATTTAGTAGCTCTATCTTCTTATCCCCCGATAAATTTATTAGGGTATACAATATATCACCACATGTATGTATGTGTTTTTTCTGCTTTTTCTTTTTTTCTGTTTGTTTGCTTACATTTTATCTTGTTTTATTATTGTTATTATTATTTTTTTCAGATGCCAAATTCTACTCTAATAAGAAAGAGAAGGAAATGGTATGTATATGGATGGGTATAGAAAAGGGCCAGATCTGGGAGGAGTTGGGGGGAACCATAATCTGAATATAGTCTATAAAAAATACCTATTTTCAATTTTTAAAAAGGCCAGACTCAGATGAACGCAGTACAGAATTCTACCAGACTTTCAAAGAAAAACAAACATCCATTCTCAAATATTTCTGTAAAATAGGAAGTGAAGAAACATTTCCAAGTTCTTTTCACAAAGCCATTATTATCATAATAACAAAACCAGACAAAGGACAGAACACACTTGACCTACCAAGATAAGGGGATGCTGGATCTGTCAGAGATGGTATAGGTGAAAAAGACAATGAAGAGACTTCCCAGCCTGAAAAGAGTACAGGGGAACTATTGTGGTGAACACAGGGACATTCCCATTGAATGTGTCATGGATAATCCTACTACCTCACAGTATGCCAACCTCATGCACAACTTCATCTTGAAGAGCACCATGTATGAAATTGAATCCCAGAATGATCTCATCTTCTTTAAAATTTGCTTCACATACACACACAATGAAATTATTGTTTCACCAGATAAGACTATTTCCTGATTATGTTTCAGAATTCAACCGCATAAACTACTCTCTCAACTCCCTGTGTCATTACATAACTTAATGGCCTCATACAATAATAATGTTAATCATGTCAGTTAGAACACAGCAGTTGCCTGAAAACCCATATAGACCATGCCAATGATCCAGTGTAGGTGAGCAACTCTGCCTACCCCACCAAATGAGTCTCTGTGTTGCTTCATTCTGTTCCCAGGTAAACTGGGTACTCATTTCAAAATGTGGGGGCAAGAGCTGATTAGAAGTGCACACCCAGCTTCCTTCGGACATCCAATTTACTTTGTTGTCCTTGAAAAAGGCTCTTTTGTTTTATTTGTTAACTAAAAATAACTAAAGAAAAAAAGAAAAGCCCACAGCATCAAAACAAACAAACAACCCCCCAAAATTATAGGCCAATGTATCTGAGGAACATGGATGTAAATAATTCTCAAACAAATACTAGTGAACCAATAACATGTGAAAATATAATCCATCATGATCAACTTGGCTCCATCACAGAGATACAAATCTAAGCTTTATTGCAGCTTATTTATTTATTCATTTATTTACAAAGATTTCAGTTTTTAAAAATTAGGGAGGCAAGATATAAACTAGACAGTAAGGATTTAGAGCTTAGAAATAAATGAGGAAGTGAAAAGTAGCAGTCTTGCTCCCTGATAGCCTAAAACCCAGAAGAAATGGTAAGTTTGCCATTAGGGTCTCTTGAGTTGATGCTATCTATAGTGACTTAATGATGCTTTAAATACTGATTCAATAGGAGCCAACAGGTGGCTTTTTAGTTTTTAGTTGGTTGGTGATATTTTTGTTGTTGTTATTTATATTCTTTTGTAAACTGGTATGAAATTGTACAATGAGCTAAATCATTCTCTCTTTCCTGAAATGTAAGGAATTCTAGTAAGTGCATACATTCATGGTTAAATATTTTGTTTGAGAAAACTGTGAAGTGGTTAGGATAGAGGTTCATAAAATGTGGTGGAGGAACCAGGCATTGATTGAAGCAGGTCTTAACTCAGTCTCCCATCCACCATGAGGCCAATTTCTATTTAAGGGAAAGAGAGCTTAGGGGAACAGGAGATCCCAGCTGGATCAAGAACAGAGAGGGAGAACAAGGAGTAGGACACCATGATAAATGAAGACCACATGAGAATAGGAAGAATCAAAGTGCTAGAGAGGTCCACAGAAATCCACAAAGATACCTCCACAATAGACTACTGATGAGTGAGAGAAAGCCCGAACTGACCTACTCTGGTGAGAGGATGGCCAAACGCCCTAATTGTCGTGCTAGAAACCTCATCCAATGACTGAGAGAACTGGATGCAGAGATCCATGGCCAGGCCCCAGGTGGAGCTCCTGGAGTCCAATTGGCTAGAAAGAGGAGGGTTTATATGAACGAGAATTGTTGAGACCAAGATTGGAAAAGGCACAGGGACAATTAGCCAAATGAATGGAAACACATGAACTATGAACCAATAGCTGAGGATCCCCCAACTGGATCAGGCCCTCTGGATAAGTGAGACAGTTGATTAGCTTGATCTGTTTGGGAGGCATCCAGGCAGTGGGACCTGGACCTGTCCTCAGTGCATGAGCTGGCTGTTTGGAACCTGGGGCTTATACAGGGACACTTGGCTCAGCCTGGGAGGAGGGGACTGGACTTGCCTGGACTGAATCTACCAGGTTGAACTCAATCCCCAGGGGAGTCTTTGCCCTGGAGGAGATGGGAATGGGGGGTGGGCTGGGGAAAAGGCAGGGGTTGGGGGCGGGAGAGGGAAGAACAAGGGAATCCGTGGCGGATATGTAAAATTAAAGTAAATTATAAAATTTAAAAAATATCAGTTCGGCTGTCACTTTTCATTCTGTAAAAATGTCTTATCATTGGTATAGTTATTATTGTGGTCCATGGAATACTTACTTTAGAATCCACAAAAATATTTTTTTAATTATTCCTAGTCCTAACACCAGAGTCAGGTCCCCATATAACTTTAGTATGTAAATATTTATGAACCATTGCTCTACAGAGTCCCTGGCCTGGAGCTCCAATGAAGCTGACTCTAACTTATCCCTCAGTCTGGTAGTGATGGATGTCATGGCTTCCTGTTTTTGACCATGAGACTGCCTTGCTGTTTCTCACTCACTGGGTACTTTTTAGACTATTTCATCATGTGTTTAGCCAAGTCCATTGATTTCCATCTTTAGCAGACATATTCAAAGTGGCTTCTTCTTTTCTGATTTTCACGCTGACACCAATCAGTACTTCCTGACACCATACCCACTTAATCTCTTTATGAAAGAATACTTGCTCATGTCTGAAACTACTTAAAAAGAAACATTAAAGTTAAATCTTAGCTTTTAGATTCTAGGAAATTCTGCATAGTTTCTATGGCTACATGTTGAAAGAATTTGGGCAAGAACAAAAATCAATTTAGTCCTAACCCATGTAGCTTTTTGACCCGGGCTCTTTCAGCTTTAAACAGGAGCAGATTTAATATTCTTTCTAGGCCTTTCACACAATGGTGATTATCAGTAATAGTGAAACCCTTGTTTTTCCACTGAAATCTAAAAGAGGCACTTCAGGACCATGAAGGAGAAGTGCCAACTATGGAAATTGCAGGTAAGTTACCAAATTGGAGGCTAGCTTGACATTTTATAAGTCCTACAGAATGGCCAAGACAATTAGTTTTAAACTGAAAGCCCAGAACAGTTTTGAAGTGTTATTCATATCCTGTAAGCACTGTTGTGCTTAAGGATTTCACTCTTATTCTCCATAAGCTAACCGGAAAAATATATTTACTTTGAATGTAATCTTAGTTCATAAAATTACAGTAAACATATCTGAGAAATGTAGAATGTTGTTCATTACAGGTACAATTTTTAGTTGTTCTTAGAAATAGCAGGATCTGTGTTCATAAGTTTTTAAGGCAATGAAATGATTACTTGCTGTGGATATAGTCAGCTTTGCAAATAAAGTACTAAAAACTTGTCGTTACCAGCTGATGTATTCAACGGCAGAATGACTTGTATCTCCCGTCTTGAAAAAATTGTCAGTAGTTGATTATATTGTGGAAAAAGTAGCTCACTTGCTTTCACAACTTTAAGCTCTACTTAAGCAACAAATCAAGGCCAGTCTGGGCGATATACAGAGATCCTGTCTCAAAAAATGAAACAAATTGGCTGGGGCATGTTCAAGGGGCTCAGCAGGCAAAAATCTACTCTTGCAGTTTGTCCTCTCACCTCCACGGGTACATTATGGCACATGCATGCCACACAACTAAAATTGACAGGCAGAGGGGACAGAAAAACGTGTGCTGAGAATATAGGTTGTGTGAAGTATGGAATCACAAGCTCTCCCGACCTGTCACAATGACATCATATTGGTGCTCACAAAGCTTAGGATTGTGAAGTAGTTTGGATTTCAGAGTTTTTAATTAATTGTACTTAGCCTGTTGTAGCAATACAAATAAGCAATTGAATTTGAATATATATATATAATATAAAATAGGTTGAAATAAATAAGATGTATTAAACAGAGTGACCACACAGTTGAAATAAAAAGGCAGCTGTGTACTCTAGAAAATATAGATATTATTTTGATATGCAATTTTCCAGAATATTAAATAGGTACCTCCATTTACAGGTGAGTATGAAAGCTTTGAAACATTTAATTTCTTGACAAAGATAGTTTTCAAATTTCCAGAGTAGGTCATATAGTCAGTCCTTTCCTGAACTCTAAATTGAAGAGTGAATGATAAATTCAAGTATGTTGATTAATTTTTTTCAACTTGACACATGCTAGAGTGATTTGGTAAGAGGGATTGTTTTCATCACATGGCCTGTAGGCAAGTCTGTGAGGCATTTTCTTGGTTAATGGTTGATGTGGGAGGGCCCAGCCAATCTGGATGGTGCCACTCGGGGTAGGGGGTCCTGGGTTTAAAAAGAAAGCAGACTGAGCAAGCCATATGGGACAAGCCAGTAAGCAATATTCCTTCATGATCTTTGCTTTAGTTCCTGCCCTGATCCATGATTCTGGCTTCTTTGAGTTCCTGCCTTGCCTCCCCTCAATGACCAGCTCTGATCAGGACCTGTAAGCCAAGAAAAGCCTTTCTGACTCAAGTTGGTTTTGGTCATGAACTTTATTAAAACAATAGAATCCTAACTCATATACCAAGGTTTGGTCCTTACATCTGTCTTTTTGATGTACACTTACTCTTTGTAGCGACTTTTCCCACTTCTTATGAATTTTCATATCATTTGACTGCTTTGCTGATTGTGCGCATATCTAACCTCCAGCTCTTGTTTCTTCTATACTGTGAACTCCTATTCTTAGTTACCCACTTGAAATCTCCACTTGGATAAACAATAAGAACTTTGACTTCATGCTACCTTTCAGCTTCATTTCACTGTTGGCACTCCAAAAGTCTCCTCCTGCAGAATTCAGGTCAATAGATCCATTATCTCTGTACTTCTATTTCTAGATATTTAGAGTGGGCTTTCTCCAAATGACACATGTAAAAGATATTAATTCCAGAGGAGCTCACAGTTCAATTCATTGGTATCCCCTTGAAAATCTCTGGTAATTTCATCTTTGAACATGAGCTTTGTAGGTGATGTCTAAGAGAAAAACTTAGTCTGCCCATCAGCCATGCCTCTCCATCCCATTCACATTCAGAATTTATGACACCCCAAGGTCATAGACTTCTGGTAAAATACTCAATGTTGCATGGTCAGTATACTGAAAGAAGTCGAAAGAAAGCATTTTATGGCAAAGAGTATATAGGTGCTGACTGTCTCAAGAGTTTTTTTTTTTTATTTTTTTTATTTTCACAACTATCTTCCAGCACAGACAGAAACAGTGGCCTTCTCAGACTTATGGTCAGCCAGATACCCTTGCATGTTCTTTCTTAGTCATATTAGTTTCATTTTTAGACTATATTTGCTAAAACTGGTATCATTAAATGCAAAAGAACAAAACAAATACAGAGTAAAGC